ATGCAATATACAGATCAATTTTAATTAGCGCTCTCTTTGCATAAAAAACTGCCCATATCGAAAATTGCCAACGATTTTCCCGCGTGCTCCATTTTATTGCAGGTGTTGTCATTTACTTGGGTAGCACTCATTAAGTGCAAAAACAAAATCCGAATAAGCATTAAAGACAAAGAGCGCGTCCCAAAACGGTGTGCTCAATTTGTTTTAAAGAGATCATTTTGTCAGCAATCCTTGAATAACCACTTTTCGTCTTACTGAACTTTAGTAAACAATGAAGAATACCAAGGCAATGAAATCCTTCGGCGATACACCTAGATCCGACAACTCGCCAGAGCTTTCTATTCATTTCAAACCTCTAAATTTAAACGAAAGTTTAAACTCGACTAAGAAATCGGCTACCAAACGACAAAAACCAAACAGTATCCATCAGTCCGGTAGCCCCAAAAATCTACCAGCATCAGCTAAAAAAACCACAGGTGTGAAATTACTGCCGCCAAAGACCGCAAAGAAAGACTACACAACGTCAGAGTCTGACAGTGATTCGCAAGATGAGCCTCCGAAGAAGACAGTCGCCGTCGCTAAGCCGGCCGTGAAAGCAGGAGTGGCAGCTAAGGCAGCAGCATTGTCGAAAAAGGCGTCTTTTTCCTCAGATTCTGACAGTGAATCTGAAGATGAGCCGCCAAAGAAGACAGTTGCCCTTGCTAAGCAGAATGTGAAGCCTGGAATGGCAGCCAAGGCAGCAGCTATGTCGAAGAAGCAGTCTAGTTCCTCAGATTCGGACAGTGACTCAGAAGATGAGCCGCCAAAGAAGACAGTTGTTGTTGCTAAGCCGGTGGTGAAGCCTGGAATGGCAGCCAAGGAAGCAGCAACGTCTAAGAAGCAGTCTAGTTCCTCAGATTCGGACGGTGACTCAGAAGATGAGCCCCCAAAGAGGAAAATTGCCGTGGCTAAGCCGGTGGTGAAGAAAGTGCTAGTGGGGAAAGTAGCCGCAATTTCCAAGAAGGCTTCTAGTTCCTCAGAGTCGGATAGTGATTCAGAAGACGAGCCGCCGAAGAAAACAGTCGCCGTTGCTAAGCCGGCAGTGAAGGCAGCAGTGTCAGCTAAACAGGCCGCAATGTCGAAGAAACAGTCTAGTTCCTCAGATTCTGATAGTGATTCGGAAGATGAGCCGCCGAAGGAAGCCGTAAGCGCGGTTAAACCGGTGGTAAAGGCTGCAGTTAAACCGGCAGTAATTTCGAAGAAGGCGTCTAGTTCCTCAGACTCAGATAGTGATTCCGAAGATGAGCCGCCAAAAAAGACAATTACCGTGGCTAAGCCGGTGGTGAAGAAAGCGCCAATAGGGAAAGCAGCCACAATTTCTAAGAAGCAGTCTAGTTCGTCAGACTCAGAGAGTGATTCAGAAGATGAGCCGCCGAAGAAAACAGTCGCCG